GGAGCAAGTAAAAACCTCTATTCACAAGTCATGCCTTCCTTTATTAGAAAAACAGGCAGACTGCACCCGTCATAAAGTTTTATGAGGATAAATAGGACTCCGATGTATTCGGCACACAGCAGGCACTTAATGTAAGCTGTAATTATCACCCTCACTGTAATCCATGTGATTTAAAAAAAAAAAAAAAACATCGTTGAGTGGTTTCATACCATCAAATGCAACAGGTCTTTCTTATTTGTGCAGTGTACATTCCAAGACACCAGTGAATGCTTAAAACTGTGGCAAGTACTGAAGCCTGCATAACTTTTTTTATATACACATACCTCTGGTAAGTTTATGAATTAGGCACACCAGATTAAAGATAGCTAATTAAAATATACAACAATTATAAAAAAGTGTAATAGAAGTTTGCACTTTAGAGTAAAATAAGGGCTATCTGAACATAAGCACTGTGGTACTGTGACACTGTGATGGTTCATCTGATAAGCAAGATGACAATGAAGTCATAGGCAGGTAACAGGTACACATGCTAGGCAAAGAGATGATTCATCTCCCAAGGAAGGTGGCATGATACTTCACATATTACTAAGAACACTGTGTAATATTAAACTCATGAATCATTTATTTCTATAATTGTCCATTTAATATTTTCAGGCCATGATTGAGCTTGAACAACAAAGTGGGAAAAACATGAAGGATAGTCTACTATATGCTAAAGTTTTGCCTCTAAACAGAATTACCGCTCAATCTCCAAATGCACTACAATCACTCTTAATGCCCTCAATATTCACCCCTCAGATATATCTTGATTTGTCAACACCCAAGACCTCATCCATCACTGTGCTATGGCCTTTTAAATTCTTACTGTGACATTAGTGTCTATGGTGAACTGACAAAGCAAAACTTTAAGGTCATTATGACAGAAGCTTAGCTCTACTGTTGGTCAAAAACTTTTAAATGTTACTTACTTTGTTTATTATCTCCAGATGCCACCTCAGAAAGATACCTAAAATAATCTCCTTTCATTTTCAAGTAGAACACCTTACTTTCTGGTTGGGTAGCATTGGGAATAAGGTATTTGTCCAACAGCTCCAGAACGTCATTGCAGATGTCCTGCAGCTCTGCCTCGATCTTCTCCCGATATTCTTTGCCCATCTGCTGCTTCTTTTCGTTCCTCTCTGTTTTCTGCTCAATGCTGGAGATGACACGCCAGGAGGACCGACGGGCACCTACCACATTCTTGTAGGCAACAGAGAGCAGATTCCTCTCTTCATTGGAGAGTTCGTGCCCCTGTTCAGTGACCGCCTTCATGGCCGCAGCCATATCATCATAGCGCTCAGCCTGCTCAGCGAGTTTGGCTTTCTGTACCAGCTCACTTTTGTCCATGGTCATTACCTACAACAAGAGCAAAAGCAAGCCAACATCAGACTTCAGGGACCAAGGAAATGCACTGTGAATCTTTATCCAAGCCATCTGGATAGAAGCTTCCCTCAAAGCAAAACACCTAGTCCCCAATACCATCAACAACACCGATTATGAACTGAGCACCCTGGTGTCAGGTACTTTATCAAGGTCTTTAAATTATTTTGCTCAATTAATTTTCCAAGCAGTTGTACAGGGTAGTGATATTCATAACAACCTCTCCCTCATTCTTAGAGATGAAGAAATGAAGTTTAAGGAAGATACCACTGAAAACAGAAAATGGTACAGACAGGATTCAGATCATCTATGTGTTCTTAGCGCTTTAGTTTTTCCCTTTCTCTGCACCTAATACTTAAGATACCGCTTAGCAAAAATTTCCTAACAAAAATTTATGCTCAATATATGTCTATTAAGTGCTTTCAATAAGTACCTACTTTTTAAAATGACCCCACTCAACTCTCTCCTATAATACAGAAGGCCCTCTTTCACTATCCTAATTATCTAGTTTTGATCAAATCTGTTTACTTCCACAGCAGAGAGAAAAATACTTTTAAGTACTACCCTTCAACCAACCTTAAAACAAAAGTTATGGGAGCCATCACTGTCCTATTTTTCTGTAGTAGACAACAGTGTTCCAAGGGCTTACTGCAAAGAGCCTGAACCAAGAGCGGCCGACCTGGGCTCTGCTTAGCTGAGCCCTGCTATCAGTGGTGCCACGATCTGGTCTAGATGCCCTAACCTGAGCACTGTAGCTTCCTTGCTAGAAGGTAAGAACATCACCAACTCTCTCAACGGGGCTCTCGTGAGAACAAATGGCCTAGTACAAGGAGGCACTTACACTAATTCTATGTAGGTATAGTGGCAATAGGTAAGAGGCTCCAGGGTGTACAGCCACGAAACACACCATACCAGAATTCCTTTCAGCCACAAGTGAGTTCATTTAAAAGATTTGATGAAAAAGACAAAATTTTACTTCAGTTTAATTATATCTAATTCTTTACATTACCAATTAGTAAATTCCTCTTATTCACCTCACCTAAATCAAGTTCTGACTATAATAATCACTATTAGTGTACTGTAAGTCACAGTTTAAAAAATCACTTAGGAACCATATAAATGTTTACATAATTTTGACTTCAGTTTCTATATAATCAGAGTCTGTGCCACAGACTAAAATCATGCTAAAAATACCTTAAGGTTTAAAAAACTGTAACACTACTTTAAAAATCTTTACTTGATACAGGGTTTCATTACACAGTTCAGACTCACGATCCTTTTGTTTCAGCCTCCCCAGAGCTGGGATTACAGGAATGAGCCACCACACCTAGTTTCAGGGCAGCACAGTGCGCCCTGAAAACTTAGGTCCTTGCACTTGCTAGGAAGGCGTTTAGACCTCTGAGCTATCTTTCCAGTCTGAAATACTACTTTAAACATTAGCAGTATTTTTTAAATAAATTCTTTCATTACTATATAAATGTTTAGGATTCTAAAAGTGATAGTTTAAAATTAGAAAGTACATGCTGGGTGTGGTGGTGCACATCTGTAATCCCATACTTGGGAGGATGAAGCAAGAGCATCATTGCAAGTTCAAGAGCTGCCTGGGCTACAAAGTAAGCTCAAGGCCAGCCTGAACTGTGTAAGGAGACACTGGGGGGGAGGGGGGGGAAGGACCAGAACTGCGAGCGCACATACGCTCTTCTAAAATGATTTTATTACAAGTCATTTTTGCATTCTCACGAGAAAATTCTCTATGAGGAGAACTATCACATGAATAAAATTTATCAGATGAAGTAGAATGATATAAACTAAAACTCCAGGAAATTCAGAAAGAACTGATTTCTCCAATTTAGAACTGATTCTTCTTTCTATGGCTTACTATCTAACTCATACTCAGCAGTGTCTTATATAAGGTTCACTAATTCTAAGTCTCATCTTGATCCATCTCACATCCTCACTCACAGTAAAATAAGACTGTGGCAGAGAGAGTTGTCCTCATAAAATATCTGCTTCTTCACATTTGTCAGCACCTGCTCCCTAGCAATTCCAGGCTACAGAATGGCACAAAAGCCTTCGACCTTACTGGGCACCCCAACTAAGCATTGTCCCCCAACCTTCTCAAGCATTCAGAAGTTAACTCACATTAGGAAAAATCCTGTCTATTCCTTGGAACCTCTCAAATGTCCTCATCCTATTTCCTAAAATAAAACGTGGCCTTTCTGATTTGGGGCCAACTATTTTCAAGGTTCTTTTGGATCATCGCAAGTTTTTGGAGATGGGAAACCATCACTATAGGACCATACTGCATACTCTTAAGATAATCTGCCTTCATCTATGTTTCAAAAATTTTAATTACACATACACACAGAAACTTATAACAATCCATAGTTAAATGCCCTAATGCCTACTGCTTGCATAACTTTCAATTTATATAACATGGATTTTGAAGCATCTAGACCAATTTCAACAGGAAATGGGTTACACAACAACCAGCAGTTTGGAGGAAGACAGCAGAGAGGGAAGAAACGAAACTGTTCGTCTTTCTACATCTATAACCACTCTCCCATCCATAGTCTTTCCCTATTCCCACTGTTTTTGTTCTCTCACCCTCTCTAGCCTCCTCTGTATCTTTGCTATCAGACCCATCTTCTTAAAGTCCTAATCACACTAATTTCCACTCAAAATTTCTAGTTCCCTGCTCCAGACAGTACAGTGAGATTTGCTGTTGGCGGAAGTTTGCCAAACTATCTTCCCAGATTTCCCACAATACGACTTCTGTACAATATGCTTCAGTCAAAATGGCTGTCTTCCACAAAGTACGCTTCTCCGTCCCGCTACCAAGCCAATCCCTCTACCTGAAATGCTTTAAGTTCTTCAAAACATAACTGAAATGCCACCCTTTCCATGAAATCTTTCTTAAAGTTGAATTGCACAATTCCAGCCATAGTGTGGCTGTTCATTTGAAATGTGACTGGTGACACCTGTTGAAATCATATTTTGGATACAAAGTGTTAAATAAAATATTTAATGTGTCTTTTGTTTGTAGTACTAGGGATCAAACCCAGGGCGTGCACATACTGGGCAAGAGGACCACTTTTTACTCTTTTAAATACATGTTTCACGTCTACTTCCAATGGACTGATGAGAAATAACTTCATAAAGCATTTCATTTATACTTATCAATATCTTGCAATATTTCTTCAGTATTAAAATTATTTGCAAGTATCTCAAGTTCTTTCCTGTACAGTGAGCTCCCTTGGAGCACATCTCCCATAACCTTCTGCACATAAATAAACAAGTACCTGCTAAATAACAGATCCTGAAATCAAAAATTAAAAATGCAAATTTTAGGGCCAGTGAGACAGCTCAGTGGACTAAGCACCTGCTTAGGCAAGCACAGGGACCAGAGTTCAATTCCCTGGCACCACATGCCAAGCCAGCCCCACACCTGGGCCTGTAATCCCAGCACTGGGGAGGCTGAAAACAAGAGAATCACTGCGAGTCTAAGTTGTGTAGTGAGAGCCTGTACCAAATACATTAATAAAAAACAAAAGCAAATTTACTATTTTTTTTTATTTTAGGACAGGTTCTACAGGGTCTCACTGCAGAGATTGGACCTGTAGTGATTCTCCTGTTTACAGCCTCCCAAATGCTGGGATTATAGGCACACCACCACATCCAGTCTCATGGCCTTCTCAGAGCGCCCGGGGTGGGGCCGGCACTGCAGGCCCAGGGAGTGCTCTAACTAAGCAGGCACTTTAATCTGCTGAGCTATTTGGCTGGCCAAAAAACCTGCAAATTTTGATAGCATTTTCTCATCTCTCAAAATAATACAAAGTCCTCTTCTACATGAACACATCCTCATACTTATACCTCATTCCCTGTACATCTGTGCCTTACTGAAAAGTATACCTCCTTAAATACCTCTTTAGCTATGCCTTCATCACCTTTAGTCAGGAACTTTCAATGATTCCCTTGCGATTACTGCACAAAGTTGCAACTCTAGCATACTGCACAAAGTTGCAACTCTAGCAGGGTTTCAAAGTCCTTTGGGTCAGGCATGGTGGTGCACGCCTATAAGCCCAGCACTTGGGGGAGGCTGAAGTAGGAGGATCCTTGTGAGTTAGAGATCAGCCTGGGCCACAAAGTGAGTTCAAGGCCAGCCTGAACTGCATGGCAAGATCCATTTCAAAAAGAAAAAAAAAAAAAAACTGCTGGGGAGATAGCTTTGTGGCGTAAGCGCCTGCCAGAAAGCGAAAGGACCCAGGTTTGATCCCAGGTACCCATGCTGTGCCGGCCCCAGAACCCCGAATGCACAGTGCCAGCTCCAAAACAGGTGTAGAAGTGCATGCCTGCAATCCCAGCGCTGGGGAACCAGAGACAGGAGGATCACTGTGAGTCCAAACTTTGTAAGGAGACCCTTATCAACAAAACAAATAAAAGCAAATCAAAAACCAAAGTGCTGGGGCTGGTGAGATGGCTCAGTGGTCTAAAGCACCTACTTAGAACAAGCTTAGCAAATCACAGGGACCATGGTTCAATCCCCCAGCACCACATGCCAGCCAGCCCTGCCCCCTGGTGGGCTGAGCTGGCCACACACACACACACACACACACACACAGAATAAATAAATAAATTTAAAAAAAAAACAAAAAACCAAAGTGCTTCAAGCTTGGTTCCTCCTAACCTGTTTGTTCTGTTTTCTCATCCGTTATTTTCCAATAGGTACCGTTCCCCAGGCTGGACATCACCGAATGCCCCACGAACTCCGCTCAAACACGCGTGAAACCAGCTTCTCTTCTCATGGACACTCCCGCATATACAGTACTTTACTTCCCGCTATGCAAACCCTACCCATCCATGGACGACTACGAACAAAGTCCTGCATACAACTCACGTACCCCTGGCATCACATAGTTCATTCACTCGTGCTGTTCTATCACACAGAGGACGTGGGCTGTATTACAGTTTCACACACATGCCCTCCAAGGAAAGCTTCACATGGATTTCACACTGAATTCCTAAAATGTCACCAAGTACAAAGCTGTTTTCAACACTGATTACTGAAAAAAACAAGAACAAAGGCTACCTAAACACATTAGAGCAGAGAGGCCTTGGGACTATGTGTCGGCACAATCTGCCATTAAATAACAGTGAGAGCTTCTTTAATCTCAGTTTTCCAATCTGTATAAATGAAGATACAAGGTCTCTTTCAGATTTGCTATAAATATGAAAAACAGAATAGTAAATGTGGAAATCACTATTTTAAAAATGCATGGTACGCAAATTTGAAGCACTTTATTTCTGTCACAGGACCTACATACCACCTTTCTTTAGGAGACAGGGTCTTGCTATGTGATTCACGCTGGCCTTGAACTTACTGTGGAGCCCAGGCTGACCCTGAACTTGTAATGATGCTCTTGCCTCAGCCTCCTGAGGATTACAGGCATGTGCCACTATGTCTGGCTTCTTCTGAGACTCTCAACAAAGGTTCCATCAAGAAAATATTGTTTTGAGGCCCTATTTTCTTCCTAAAGTACTTTTAACAGACCAAAGTCTTGGGCTGGGGATACAGCTTAGTGGCACAGCGCCTGCCTTGCAAACACAAGGTCCTCAGTTCAATTCTCAGTACCAACCCACCCCCCCAAAAAAACCCCACCTAAGTCTTTGTCATGAGGCCTGGCATCAACCCAACGGCATCTAAGAGACAAGAAGCAGACAAACTCATTAGAAACTACAAGATGTCTAGCCCTGCAGTAAACCTAGCAATACATACCTTAGCAGACTCTGGAAAGACACTGACACACTTGAGAACAAGCACACTCACATAGTGACGATTAAGGTAACTGCAGAAAGCCAGAGGATTGGAAAGTCATCTGCTGATGATCAATACACAACTTTCTTAGTGAAAAACTGAAAGCAATCTAAATACCCAACACTAAGGAAGTGGTTTTTCTTTTTTTAAAAAAAGACATACAGAGAAAGTGTAAGATCGAATGGCGAGCTAAGAAGGGATTTAATGTCACCAAAAGGGGCTGGGGAGATGGCTCAGTGGAATAAGTGCTTCCCTGGCAAGCGCAGGGCCTGAGTTCAATCCCCGGTTCCACCAAAAAAAAAAAAAAAAATGACACCAAAAAATGTATTTAAGAGCTCCGGAAGGACTGAGAAAAAGTAGCACACACCTGTAATCTCAGTTACTCAGGAGGCTGAGACAGGAGGATGTAAATTAAAAGCTCACCTGAGCAACATTTTTAAAAGAGTTGGGATTGAAGCTTAGTGACAGAGCACTTGCCTACATGTGTAAGACCCTGGGTTCAATCCAAGCACTGAAGGAAAAAAAAAAAAAAGGCAAACTATGAATGATGGGAGAAGAAAGCTTTACAGTGATATTTCAAATATATTCCTTTAAAGAACGCTTACAAAATGACTGGAAGCCCCAATGGGTCATGGTGGCCATCACTTAAGTGCATAGTATCTCTGAATGATAACATTTTAAAATTTCATTCTCTTATTTTGCTCACCTTTGTGAATTTTTCTTCTGGTACATAATTATTTTTTTAAAGACCTTTCCCCCATGTCCCCCACTCATAATACAGACCAGACACACGGCCCAGAATAAGGCTAATAAGTAGTAGCTTACTCTGCTCCTCTCTACACAGTTGGTGCAAGAACACAGCTTATGGTAAGTACCAGGAGGCCAAGTATTAGTTTTATAAGAAAAACAATTTTTAGGGCCAGGGAGATAGCTCAGTAGAATAAGTGCTTGCCTGGCAAAGCACAAGGTCCTGAGTTCAATCCCTGGTACCGCAAAAAAAAAA